AAGTTGGATTCCTCAGTGATTGACCAGTTGAAAGCCAAATTTCTGGCTAGTTACCCGTCAGAGTTGGTAAACCATGACACCATGCCAAGCACGAGACTCCTCAGCCTTGTTCACCACCAGCTTCTGAAGAAGCAATGGGCCTGGATTCCTTGGAAATACAGGCTAACGATGGCTAAAGCTGATGAGATTTCCTCCCAGCGGCAAACCAAGATGCCCAAATTGGAAGTGGCTTCATTGCATAACCTGTTGGTTGATGAACCTCCCTCAATAGATATTTCCAATTCAGGTTTTGGGGTCAATGCGGTACGAAATTTGCTGGCAGTCCATGACATGGCAGTTGCAATGTGTGGAGGTGCACACCTGGCAAATCTAAAGGCTTACTCGGCCAAATTTCTGGGCTTCTTGACGCAGAAGGTGGATCCGGAAACCATGTTGAGGTGTGCATCCATTACTGAAGCGCAGGCTGCAGATAGACAGATTTGGGCATCAATAGCAGATTTAATGGCTGAACGCAACTGGGACATGGACAATTGTCTGCATGAGTTCACTCATATTCGTCATGATTTGCCAGGTTTGTTGCAGCTCCGTCCACGTCCAGCCAAAGCCCAGTCCTCATCTCAACCTTGGACTGTTCCTGCATCGAATAAAGGTAAAGGCAAAGGCAAACCATCGAAAGGCAAAGGCAAATCAAAGGGCAAAGGGAAAGTGCAATGGCTGACTGATGTCAAGACAAAGGACGGTCAGTGGAAGCAGTTGTGTATGAGATACCAAACAGGTAATTGTTCCCTGGGTGACAACTGCCGTTTCCAACATGGATGTGCATATCCGGTCAACGGTCAAGCTTGCGGCCTGGATCATGGCGCCCTCCAGCATCAAAACACATCACACTGACTTTCACAGCAGGAACCGGAAGTGCAGGAAGTGGCCATGGCGACAGGCTCCACTACTCCAGCACCAGCAGCGACAGCGTCCTCAGCAGTATCTTTAAAAGATGTTTCGGAGGTTCAGGTTTCACCTCCCGGTTCCTCCGGGGAGGCAGCAGTATCACCAGTTTCACCAACAGTTCTTTCACCATCTCATCCAGTGTTTCACACAGGTGACGGCAAAATATTTTTAGATATTTGCTCGGGAGCAACACGGCCATTGAGTAAAGCCATTTTGGCACAACATGGTGATGTCTTAGCCTTTGATATTCTTCTGGACTCAAGGATGGATTTGTTGAATGACCAGAGCTATGAGCAGCTCTTGAGGATCTGCTCATCGGGCCAGGTGGCATATGGCGCTGCTTCTCCTTCCTGCGCCCACTACTCTCGGCTGAAACTGCATCGACCTGGTCCTAAAGCCTTGAGGACACCAGAAGCTATGCAAGGTGTCCCTGGATTGACAAGTGCGGAGCTTCTTCAGGTACAAGATTCATATATGATGCTTTTTCGATGTGTGACTTGCTTAACATTGATTTATCAAGCAGGAGGTCATGCTCACCTAGAGCAACCTCCATCAGCTATGAGTTGGTTGGAAGATTGTGTCAAAGCTTTTGTGACTCTGATTTCGGCCTGGTGCGTGGTTATTTCTGCTTGCGCATATGGTAAGAACTGGTACAAACAATGGATGTTTGCGAGTAGCTGGCAAAAAATTGCCGAATTGGGCCACCTCTGCGATCACCCTAAAGGGAGCCATGTATCTTTGGTTGGAACCGTGTCTGACACAGGTGAATATTTGAGTAGACAAACAGCTTGCTACCCGGAGGATCTGGCTACAGCCTTTGCGGAGAGAGTGGCACCTCTGGTGAGTCATTCATCGCACGACTGGAAATGGGATGATATCTCTCAGATTCCTCCCTTGAAAACCATCCACCAACCCCCTTTTGGACAAGAAGATGGTGGTGGATTTACATCTAACCCTGACTGGAGTTTGGGTGAGCGCGTGGCCACGGACTTTTTCGGTCCTCTTCGACAGAAGTGGGTTCAACGCATTTTGGATAATCGGTTGGACAAGTTTTTAGTCCAATTCTTTTCGCAAACTGATCATTCTTCTCCACCGTTTGCAGAGAATATCATCACTCCTTTTCGCAATGACCTGGAACAATTTTTGCAGGATTCCGGCATCAACCCAGATTGGACTATCCGGGACCATCAACCTATGTGTTTGCACATTATGCATGGACTCTGCCAGATCATGCAAGACCCCGATCAGGCATTGTTTCCAGCGCTGATTGAGGGTGTGGGCACTGGTTTTCAACGGGATATTCCTTTGAGTAATTGCTTTCCTCTTAATGTTTCTGCGGATGCTGATGAGCCACCACTGTCGGCCCATTTGACGAACTGGCAGAGCGCTGACGATGATATCATGTTGACCAGACAGCTTGTACAACAGGAAATCGACAAAGGATGGGTGTTCCCATTTGATGGTACTTTGCAGGATGCACAACAAAGATATCCATTGGGCGTTGCGCTGGGCAAACTTGGTATTGCCCACGCAGATGGGCGGCCTCCAAGACTGGTCTTAGACCAAACAATCTGCGGCCTTAACGGGCGTTGTGTGATACCAGAGCGAAGTACGTTGCCATCCGCTAAGGATGTACTTCGTACATTTCCGATCCGAAACTATTCTGGGGATCACATGGGATTTTCGCTTGACATTAAAGCAGCTCACAAAAGAGTATGCATTCGGGAAGAAGAACATGGCCTTCTCGGATTTACGCTGCAAAATCAATTGTATTTTTACAGAGTGGCCCCTTTCGGGGCCACTTTCTCGGCCTCATGGTGGTCTAGACTTGGCGGCTGGATGTTGAGGTTCTTCCACTTTTTGCTCTGGTGGGCACATGTGGCCCTACTGTACGTTGATGACTATTTGTTCCATCAATCCAGTTTTGGCATGCCAATCTCAGCTACTATGATTTGTCTGTTTTGTCAAATTGTCAACATCCCCGTTTCTTGGCAGAAATGCGAACTTGCATTCAGCATACAATGGATTGGCTGGAAAATCCATTTTCGTTCCGGTTTTATTGAGATACCAATGCAAAAGATTGACAAGTTTCTGGGCTATCTCCATTCTATGGGACGCAGCTCCAGGACTTCCAAGCGGAACCTTGAGAAACTGATTGGACTGGCACTTTGGCTGACTCAACTTTGGCCATATATGCGAATATGGATTCGACATTGGTATCATGACCTCTATTCCATTCCAGCAACACATTATAGCATTGACAATGGTGATTGGCGACAATTTTCAAGTCATTTGGATGAAAATCTACATATCATTTCTCGCCCTCAGGGGACAGCACTGCCAATTGGAGGCCAGCTACTGGCGGTTCGCCATCATACAGTCAAGACGAAGTCGGATTTGACGACAGTTCCTCTCTCCAATAAAAGAATTTGGCTTCGGATTCGAGATCCCTCTTCCACCAAGAGACATTTGTCTTCCTCAGTTTACGAATTATACAACATTTCATACAATGGGTCACAGGCCTGTCTCCTATGAAACCCTTAACCCCAAAAAAGTATTGGGATGGGGAAGCAGCAGCTGATGCATGTGCTTCTGGTAGCACATGCGAAATTGGAGGCTTTGTCAAATCAGCTACAGGCCAAATTTACTGGTTTTCGGAGATTTATTCACATTCAGATTTTACTCAACTGGGCATTGAGCTGGATGCTGAAATGCAGCGATCTATTTCGGCTTTTGAGACCCTGGCTCAAATCGCTTTACTGTTTGTGACTTCCAAATTTTTTCCGGCGCATCGAATGCCCATTTGCTTGAAGAGCCTCAGTGACAACAGTGGGGCCGAATCCGGTAGCAATAAACTTTGGAGTATGACATATCCTCTATCAATTTTTCTTGAACGAATGTGTCTTTTGTCCGCGATGTTGGGGATGGAAATTGATGTCAATCATATCCCGGGCTCTCAAAATATTTTGGCAGATGACTTGAGCCGTTGGGACCAAACAGGATCACCACCTCATTCATTTCACTTGAAAGATCGCATCCGCATTCCTCTTGCAGAGCTGTGGCAGATTCGCACTTCTCCAACCTTGATTCCGAAAGAAGCTTCAATACCATGGACCTTACCTACTGTTTAATTCCTTTTTTCCTGATTGCTGGAATTCCCTCACTTTTCAATTGGGGTATATTTGGCGAGTTGAATTCCCAGATAGTTAATTTAGGGGTTTAAGATCCATCTGTCAATTCAACCAAAGGTTCAACCAAATAAATTTGTTGGTTGGTGCCTCGAAGACAAATAATTCCAGCAAGCGAAAAAAGGAATATTAATTAAACCGAGCGTGAACACGTTTCAGCAAACCAGATGTATGGTTTTGGAGAAGAAGTTTGGTTTTTGAATAATAGATAAATTTAAGTTTGGTATATATATATATATTAAGATATATATTTGAAATAATCCAGAAGATTGAAGTCCTTGTAGAACGTTTAACGTACTTGTTTCGTTTATGTTTTACGGGGAACTTTCAGATCTGTGTTTTCCTTGAAACATTTTGGTTCAAGCTTACTTCAATCTTCTGGTGCGTTTGTTATGCGTTTTGCTTTATTAAAAAACCCACCCATCCCACACCTAGTTATTCTTGTTCTTATTATATTCACTATCATTTTATTTTGTTGCTTCTATGGCTTTACATGATGATCTATCCAATGTTCTTGGAGTGGCTTCACATGCTGTGCTCGTTTTGTACAGGGTAGTGATTCCACTTCGACCTCGGCCTGATTCAAAGCATTCGAAGCATCCGACCTGATCCCTCCATCCAGGAGGTTTTGCATCCGCCGTAGTTCCTGCTTCGTCACCGTCACTAGGTTTTCAGTTAGTCACCACTTTTGCATGCTGCTCGGCTTTTCTCACAATATGTGAGTCATTTCTATTGACAGGGGGTTTAAGATCCATCTGTCAATTCAACCAAAGGTTCAACCAAATAAATTTGTTGGTTGGTGCCTCGAAGACAAATAATTCCAGCAAGCGAAAAAAGGAATATTAATTAAACCGAGCGTGAACACGTTTCAGCAAACCAGATGTATGGTTTTGGAGAAGAAGTTTGGTTTTTGAATAATAGATAAATTTAAGTTTGGTATATATATATATATATATATTAAGATATATATATTTGAAATAATCCAGAAGATTGAAGTCCTTGTAGAACACCCTTGAAGCCTCCCTTGAAGCCCCGCGTGAAGCCCCCTTGAAGCCCCCCTTGAAGCCCCCCCTTGAAGCCCCCTTGAAGCCCCCCTTGAAGCCCCCTTGAAGTCTCTTGAAGCCCCCTTGAAGCCCCCCTTGAAGCCCCCCTTGAAGCCAGTCAAGTGTGAACTCCAAGGATGCGAGTATGTCATCCTCAAGAACCTTCCTGGACAAAGACTGGGACTGGTACTTCAGAAATTACTTGGAGGAAAATTTCCAGTATGAGTTTTGTGATGTTCAGCCGTGTTTGGGTAGAACAAAAGATTCAGTGATCCTCATCCATGTGGACGACATCCTTTACACTGGCAGTGCAGAATTCTTTGAGAAGCGACTTTTGCCAGTTTGTCAAGATCGTTTCTCTGTCAAATGGAGTGCACTGCAAGAGCTTGGCAGCACAATCACGTTCCTGAAGAAGAAGATCTCTTTGGTGACAGGTGGCCTCATGGTAGTTCCTGGTACACAAGTTCACAAGGTGGTGGAAGTTTTCGAGAACCACTTTGGTGTCGTGCGTGGACAGCTCATCCCATGTGATGCCTCACTCAACTTGAGGACGTATCAGCTGAACTGACTCCAACAGATGCTGCAGTTTTCAGAAGGGTTGTTGGTATGTGCTTGTACTTGAGTCGGGATCGCCCTGACATTATTTCTCCTGTCAAGGAAGCTTCAGGCAGGATGTCACGCCCAACCTTGACAATTCAAGCCTTCAGCATTTGAGAAAGTTGATAGGCTATCTCAAGATGATGGGCGACCTGGGAATTTTCTTGCAGTACCCTCAGCCTGGAGTTGGAAAGTGGCGCACTTCATCTGAGAAGTACTGGATTTTGGAGTCATATAGCGATGCTGACTGGGCATCAAACAAGCCCATCGAAAATCCACAGGCTGTGGAGTTCACCTTCTCAATGGATGCTTTTTATTTGCATCATCAAGAACACAGAGAGTTATCTCCTTGTCTTCCTGTGAATCTGAATTGTACAGCATCGTGTCGACCATGATCGATGCAATATTCATCAGGTGCTGCTTGGAGTTTGTTTTGGGAGTTGACATCTCCCAGGTTCACTTTACAGATAGTAGCAGTGCACGTCAGCTATGCAATCGGCAGGGCGTTGGAAAGATAAGGCACTTGTCAGGAAAGGTACTCTGGGTTCAATCGCAGGTGAAAAGTGGTGCAGTTGAGATGGTGCAGATGCCAACAGCCTACAACGTTGGCGACATAGGCACCAAAAGCCTTGGAAGAAAGAGACTTCTTGCGTTGATGAGTGAGCTTGGGATGGTTTCTGCAGAAACAGGCCAACCAATAGGCCAGGAGGAGCTTGAAGAGTTGCGTGAAAGCCGTGAAAGCCACACCAATTCACGTGATGTCACAAAACTGGCAAAGACGATTCTCAGGTTGACAACAGTTTTGGGCCTTGGGCCAACTGGTTCAAATGCGCAGGGCCGGTGTGAAGACCACCGTGTTAGCAGTGGTGACAATGAAACATGGTGGATCTGGCTCTCAATCTTTTTGCTGGCAGTAGCATGGGTTGGTTTTGCAGTGGCTGCCTACAAACTTTGGTTGAGGATGAATCAAAGAATGGCACACAACGAGCTCCAGCAGGCAGAAACTGCCACGTTCATGGGCAACCAGAGAGACTTGTTGGATGAGCAACGTGCCAACCTTCAGGAATTTCGCACACGATACAACAACTATGTGAGGCAAACAGATCAAGGACTGGCCACACTTGAGGAGTATGTTGATTGTGTACATGATGGGTTGGTCCATTATGGTGGGTTTGTGAGATTCAATGAGATCACCCTGCAGCAGAGGTCTGACATGTTTGCCCAGGAGAGATCAAATAAACTTCTATTTCGAGCTCGTCAGGTGGCACCTGATACAACAGATGATACCACTGTTCCGGGAGTCTATGCAACAGAAGCATCGGGCTCAGGAGCACCTCCAGTGCCAATGGAGGACAGTCAAAGGAGGAAGAGCCAACTTCAGATGCAGAAATCCTGGAGAACGACTCAAACACGAGAGAAGGAGAGTCGACCGGGATCATCAAGCATCTACGTGATCAGGTGAATGAAGCTTTGGCTTTCGAGCACTATGAGGATGCAACAGATATCCAGACGACCCTTACAGCGGTGCTTGAGGCAGCTAATTTCAGTCCACACCTCACATTGGACATGCAAGAAGGGTCACTGGAACATATCAGAGACTTTACAGGCGAGCCAGAAACCGAGGTGATCATGCGTTGTCAGGAGTTTACCAGGCGTTTGCAGAAGATCTGCATCGGTTTTTGTGAGCAATAGATCAGATGGCGCAGTTCACAGGTTTTCACCAAGTGAAATTTCATGTGAGACCAAACTTTTGCAGATGATTGGTCGATGAAAAGTAATCGGCCATTTGGTTTGTGGTTGGGTGGAAAGAGGGGTGCCGGGCAACCCCATAGTCCCGAGGGATGCCAGGCAATCCTAAATCCTGGGGAAGTGCAAAGGATTTCCAGAGTTAAGCAACACTCTGATGGATCGAGATGTGTACGCTACAAGGAGCTGAAGAGTCAATTTAGCGAGGAGGAGTGCGAAACACATGTGGATGCACTCATGACTTCAGTTGATGTCATTGCATGGCAGTTGCAGCAAGGATGACACACACAAATCTCAGTAGAATGCACTTCAGATTTCACACCAGTTGCATGGAAAATCCATGTGAATCTACAGGCCCTTTACGGCTCAGTACAAAAGGTGAGCGCTGTGCACCGTTTCCTTAACAATATCATATCACATCTTTCGGAAAAACAAAGCGCTAAGAAAAATATCTTAAAGTAATGTTAATAAATTACTTTGAAAGGTTTTTTCAGACTCTTTTGGACATAATATTTTTTTGTTGGAAAATATGTTGTAAAAGAGTCACTTAAAACTTCAATGATCCTGTAACAATATATTGAAAATCAATATGAATGGACCTCGTTCACTCTTTTATAAAACATAATTTAATCCTTTTAGTTTAAAACAAATTTACGTTCTCGACATTTTGAAACGCATATTTTTAAGAGTTCTTTCAATAATAAAAAACTATTGAAATCAAACGTAAAAACAAGCGAAAGGTAAACTAAATAGAACTAAATAAAAAAAACAACATTTCAAAAAATAGAAACACAACTTGAAATCAAAGAGAACCACACCATATTGAACACTGAAATTTGAAGATATAAATATTGCCAACATCTAAAAATAAAACAAACAAAATCAAAAAACACATGTCGTGAGACCTGCCACGTGCGGCGGGTCAAGGGCTTTGGGTGTGGCAAGGGGTTTGCGCGTGGCAGGTCTGGGGTTTGGACGTGGCAGGTCAAGGGCTTCGGGTGTGGCAGGTCAAAGGTTTGGGTGTGGCAGGTCAAGGGTTTGGGTGTGGCAGGTCAAGGGTTTGGATGTGGCAGGTCAAGGGTTTGCGCGTGGCAGGTCTGGGGTTTGGACGTGGCAGGTCAAGGGCTTCGGGTGTGGCAGGTCAAAAGTTTGGGTGTGGCAGGTCAAGGGTTTGGGTGTGGCAGGTCAAGGTCAAGGGTTTGGATGTGGCAGGTCAAGGGTTTGCGCGTGGCAGGTCTGGGGTTTGGACGTGGCAGGTCAAGGGCTTCGGGTGTGGCAGGTCAAAGGTTTGGGTGTGGCAGGTCAAGGGTTTGGGTGTGGCAGGTCAAGGGTTTGGATGTGGCAGGTCAAGGGTTTGCGCGTGGCAGGTCTGGGGTTTGGACGTGGCAGGTCAAGGGCTTCGGGTGTGGCAGGTCAAAAGTTTGGGTGTGGCAGGTCAAGGGTTTTGGTGTGGCAGGTCAAGGGTTTGGATGTGGCAGGCCAAGGGCATTCCCCAGCAACATGGCCTCAGAAGAACCTGGTAGAGAAACCGGCCAACGTTATTACCCCGATTGCCCCACCCCGCCCCACCCCACCTGCCACCTGGTTGAAACAGTAGATTCCCTTATGTGTTTGTGTGTGATTTCGCAGTTGATGTTGTTGGACACGGGCAAACCAGTGGATATCGCGCATGGAAACTCCTTGTTGATGAACAGTCAGGAAATCCAAGCATATGAGGATTATGACGGCTGCATCATGGCATTTTTGGGAAAATTTGGTGCACAACCCATTTAAATATTTTTTGGTCATTGTCTTGATGCTTTATTGCCGTTTCAGTTGGGCTGATATGCGAGTGTATGATTTCGTTATGCGTCTTTCAAACATGGCCATCGAATTTTCGCCACGTTCAGGGAACAGACATGGCGGTGCAAAATGGAACCTAATTGCACATGTGTGATGACAACTTTGCTTTGGCTCGTGTCGAACATTTATCTAGGTTGTGGCCAAAATTTAGACTGTATGTGATCTTTTCATGCGGCCGGGGAGGGCCCAAACAACACGATTCAAACAAATTGAGGTGTTTTTTTGTGTCACCAGTCCCCACCGGCATCAACACATTTGCTTGGTTAGTGTTACTTTTGGGAACATAGGAAACGGCCACTTAGTATTTTACCCAGCTAAATTTGCCACAGCATTGACTAATATCTACTCCAAATTGATGTTTGAATCATGTTGAAACATGGAACCAGAACAAACCATCACCAACAAACCCTACGAACGACAGACAAACTTTGTTACACTTCGGGGGTTTCCTTAGCCATGTCGGCAACGCCTTCTGCTCCTTCTTCGTTGTTCAGTTCGTTTAGGTATCAAACTAAGAGGTTTTGTTTAATGGGGCAGAACCTAAAGATGGCAAGGCCTGGCGACGAGACCAAAATTTTGATTGCAATTGCACTCCCATCCAAGAAAACATGAGTGCGATACCAAAAATTCCGGAAAATAAAGTATATACAAATACAAAGTTTACGACTTGATCATTGTAGTGAGAGTAAAATGTGAATTTTTGACTGTGACGGATCCGTGCTTGTGCCACAAGTTTGGTCGAAAGGCAAAAACTTCCAGACAAAGCCTTGCTTGTGAGTGGTGCTGTGGGTGGGCCAACAGCTAGATCCTCAGATGAATGTTGGGAAGTAACCAATGAAAAAAACTGATTTCGTTGAACCCAAATCTTTATACCTTGAACATATTCTTCAATTGACACGGAACGCAGGGACAAAGGCAATATTTTGAGAGAGATGCCTTGTCACAGTGGCACTTGACAACGCCAAAAACATCGTTAATTTTGACTGAAACATGTCCATTTTTTCAGTATTTCGGTTTACTGCGTAGTTTGTTCGTTGACTTTTTTATTCATATTTTCGTTTATTCAATTATCAACTTCCAAGGTCATTTGGCTGTGCACTCCATTGCGAAATGGACTCACTCTGGGTGCGAAGGAGACCTGCACTGAACCCCGAGCACAAAACCCATCGAAATCCGTTGATTGACGAAGGACAAAAAATCTGGGATTGTTGGCCTCTATCGAAAGGCTGGGGACACTAAATCTGGTTTCTCAGCAGATATGCCGATATGCATTTTAAAAAATCTAAATCTGTTTGAAACAGTTGCATCATGCATCAAAGTTACATCGGTTAAATCGTTGGCCACATCATGTTCGCTTTCAAGTATTGCGCAGTCCAGGTTTTTCGTGGTGGGTTTCATGCCGGCTGGACAGGCACTGAGTCTTTTAGAACCCAATGAAATCAATTTGAAACAAAATTTCTTCAAGAGATCAACTTCAGTCACTCATCACCGGTGCCGTCATGAGTTCCACCAGACGAGGAATTTGCCTGAAACAGTCAGAAGGCTTTAACAAAAGGTATGGCTGAGATGCAATGACAAACGAAAGGGAAACAAAATGGAACGACAAACGAACAAACAATTTTTAACAACTCAAAGTCAATCAAAGTCCAGTAGTTTCTTTTAGCACTCTTTTGTGCATTTCTTTCACAGTTCGGACACAGATAGGACAGAAACACATCGAATTCACTTCGAAATCACAGGCGGCCTTGCCCCAGCAGCAACAGCCTGAGACACGTTAGCTCGGTCCCTGCGGTTAGCTGTTCAAGAACTCTTCCAACTCTTCAGACTTAGCCCACCATTTCAAGGTGGTCGCTTGCCCTCAGTTCTTGGCTTTGGGACCAGTCAATCTGGCTCGATTTGGCATTATTTTTAGTGCGTTAAGTTGAAACAGAAACCACAGTTTCTCGAAATGCAATATCCCTTTACTAATTTTTATTCATCTTTATTCCATTTTATTCCCAGGTGAATGACATGAAAGACACGAGGCTAAACAAACTGTCTTCGCTGTACCACTTTACAAACGCTGCTGAGAGCAGTGCGCCAGGTGTATCATTTCATCAACGGCAGCCTGGCAGACTGTGCCGGCGTTTCGGCTTTGAGCCCCACATCTGTGCATCGCCCCAGAATCGTGGACAGAATGGACATTGATCGCGACAAGTCACAACAGACATGATCACACATTGCTCATACATTTAACATTTGAACTGCATTTGAGTTGCTGCATGTGAGTTTTGATGTGTTTTGCGCGGTGTGAGACGGTGACATGCTGAGACCTGACGTTTGATTCATTCCCAAGTCAGAAATCTACTGAGTCGCTCACGAGGCTAAAACCACAAACTGGTAGATGTACGGAAATGTATGAACTTTATTATGGCATTCTTCTTGACTACCCATTGACCAACAAGCCGCCTTCTTCATCCAGATTTCGAGCTGAGATGGCTAAAATTGCTAAAATGATCTTAGAGCACAAACTTAGCAATGTTGCTCTTAGACTCTAAGAGGCTCCACGTCTATGTTGCTCTGTGCAGCTCTCAGAGAGGTTGATACAGGTCCCATTGCTGAGCAGATGAGCAGTGCTAAGTTATGCTAAGTTGCTTTGGGCTTCGCTTCTGGGTTTTTGGGTTTTGTTCGAATTGAGGCGATTGCTGCTTTGGGAGCATCGCTCGGGGAGACGGCGCGGGGTTGGACACTGATGGGTTCACACATGAGCAAAAGAATAGCACAAGAGTGTGAAAGAAGAGCATAAAGCAAGGACCCCATGCGTTTTGGAAGATATTGATGTGCAAATTTTGGCTCGAGTGTGGGGCTGCCAACGTCGAACTTCAAAGCAACAACATGTCAGAGAGAAACACTGGCATCCCTGCCCGAAAATTCATCGAAGTCCGACCCATGCTTCAGTTTTGTTTTTTAGCCACACACCGGCCTCATTTTGGGCAACATGGGCAACATGAGAAACATGGGCAACACTCCTAAAACACAAGAGGAGCAACGAGGTGACCAGGTACTTCTCACTGCCCGAGACATGGTAAGATCAGAAGGCCTGGGGATGCCTGGGATGTTCACGAAATTTTCTTTGTCGCATCTGGTAACATCTCGTTCCTAACAGAATACAACAGAATACGAAATACAACATAATACATCATAATACAACGGAAATACAACGGAAATACAACGGAATAGAATGCAGTGATTAGGATATTATTGATATTATTGATATTATAGTATTATAATGTATTATAGAAGATTCAGAATATATTCAGAATACGCCATGGTCACTGGGGACGGTGATCGTTTCCGTTTTGGATGGAACGATGCCAGGTCGAGAAGCACTGGAGGTTCGACATGCCGAGTGTTTGGAGACATGTTTTTTTTTTTTTTTTCGAATGACGAGACGGAGAATGAAACTCGACAAGTGATTAACTGATCTTAACTGTTAATATAAGCTATATATAAGTTATATAAGCAGAACATAATACAAACATATACAAACATATACAAACATGCAAAATCATTCTATGCAAAACATGGGTTTCAAGTGATGCAACACGTCTGATCCTTCTTCAGTTTCACACGCCCAGAGTATCACGAAGTGCAGAGCTTCAGGCGATGCCATCTTCAGATGCATTCTGTGTCCAGTCCTCTGCAATCACGGAGAAAGAGATCACACGGTAGTCCGTTGTCCTCGCAATATGTCTTTTGGTTCTTAAAAGATCTCTTATCATTTGTTGTCTCGCGATGTCTCGCGAGATGTCTAAGAAGTCTGCTTAGGATGAGAAGCAGCTTGGAGCTCAACAATCGGGTCTGTGACGATTTGAAGATTTGGAATTTTTTCAGTAATCAGTGTTGTACTGTGAATATCTGTGAATTGTGTAGGCAATTTGTTTTGTCGCACCAGGGTTACCGCTCAAGGCCTACAAATGCTCGCGGGGCCCGTGACAACTTCTTGTCCGCGGCAGTGCTTGGGAACATGGTGACCCGGCCTTGTCATGATTTGATGTCAGATTGTCTAAGAATTTGTCTAAAGACTTCTACATCTTGTGCATCTTGTAAGGTGAAAAGGTTTTTGATGTTACAATTTGAGTGTTGAGAGGCGCGGTTCCACAAGTTCTGGTCTGATGCTGTTTTAAAGAACCCAAAGTTCAAGATAGTTCGAATATGTTCGAATGAAGTTCCATATTCGTGGTGCATGTAGCTGTGTGTGTCTTCGCACACGGCAGAGGTGTCACTGGGATCGGACGCTGGAAATGCTGGGATGATGGCGGCCACTGGGACAGATGTGGCGGCCGAGTCGAGTCCGAGGTCATTCTCGGAAATTCCATCTCTTTTCCGTATCTTTCCATATTTTTCGACTATTTCTCGATTTCGTAGGTTGTTCCTATCATTCGTCGATTTCGTATCCAACATGGTTCCAACATGTTCGTTCCACTTCCCGGAGATGTCACCGAGACGCGCCACAGGTGCAACAGGTGGTCACATGGTCGGTCGCATGCGGTTCGTCCGAGGTACGCCATGCCCGACTGATCCAGCAGCTGATTTTGGCGTCGGGAAACGAAGCCAGCAAGGCGTACGAGATGCTCAACGAACACGGCTGAACCTGCAGACACAAAGAAAACCTATATACTGTATATATCATATATATATCTATAACATATATATATAAGTATATATATATATAATAATAATAATAATGATAATAATAATAATAGTAAAAATAATAATAATAAAAATAATAATAATAATAACAATAAATAATAATGATTAATGAGATTTATATCTGAATATTGAACATGCCAGTGCTGCCCTGCTATGTGTCAAACACGAGTGTCCTGCTACCACGCTCGCAGTGCGAACATGCAGATGAACACTTTTTAAACGCAAACTGTGCGTAAATTGGGTTGTTTGACTTTACACTTGGGCTCTCGTAGCAAGTACAATGGCCACATTGTAAAAGAAACAAAGAAACAATGAACAACTTGATGAACAACTTGATGCCATGGCCACGGTCAGAGCTATTCTGTTAAGAGCTAACGTCAGCATCACTGGATTTGAGCTGCCAAGGAAGTGGCAAAGACGCGGCAAAACAACTGTGGCCTACGGCAGCAAAACCAACAACGAAGACTTTTTGCAGACGCTTGGTGAAAAGATGTGAAAAGGCTTTCAGATGCATACAATTGTAACACATTGTAACAACTGTTTCCTTTCAGCAGATCAAACTGGTAAAGCGGAAATGACCTGCGTCCAATCGAGTGAGCAACTCCCCACTTACGGTCGAAGACCACAGCAGACCCCTAGCAGACCCCTAGCAGACCCCTAGCAGACCCCTAGCAGACCCCTAGCAGACCCCTAGCAGACCCCTAGCAGACCCCTAGCAGACCCCTGGGTTTTCACTTGTGAGAGCGGTGAAAACGTGATGCATTTTGCGCTAGGAACGATGTACGAAAAGCGGGAAATAAATTACGTCAGCGGAGACGAGGAAACCTTTTGGCACGCTTGGAGACAACGGAGGCCTTGCTGTGTGATGTGTCACATCACATGTCACATTGTGGACATGATGTCATTTGTCACATATGTCACAGGTGTCGAGGAGGAAAGAGTTAAAAGACAAATGTCATTTGCCTCTCACGTCTCAAGCAAAGAAGGGTTCCAGAGTTCAAACAGATTTTCAATCAACGAAACAAAGGGACCAGAGACATGTAATTCCGTAAGGACTAGGAGAAGGACAAGCATGCAACATTTGCATGGAACATATGGAACGTATGGAACATTCCGGAATCTTTCAAAACCAAACAGCAATGCTTTGACATGTGACGAGATGAACAGGTCGTCCCAGCCACATCTGAGACCCGTTTACGCCGTGGCACCTCAACACAAGAAATCAATGAAGCTCAGACGAGTCTGGCACTCTGTGGGAAACGGACATATGTCCTGACCAGACTGACGTAGGACCGTAGGACCAAGATGACCAGGATGAACAGGATAACCAGGACCAAAGTCTTGTTCAACGATAGTGTTCGAACATGTTCAGCCCAGCCATGCCCAGACTCTCCATGTTTACACAGGTGTAGCTGAGAAGGTGTTTCTATGTCGCATGACACAGACCCAGCCGGTAGTCTATGCAAGCAGAATGCAAGCAGTCTGGTAGTCACTGGTAGTCTTGGAGGTGGAGAGCCGGCGGACGAAGATGACACATCAAAGAGCCAGGACCCGAGTGGGCACAGCGATACCTGTCAAACGATCAGCAGCCTACCAGCAAAACAAAAGGAATTGTAGGAATTGAAACAGGTCGAACAAGCAACGAAAGATATGAAAGCACCATGCCTTTGGAAAATATTTACAAACATGAAAGATGATTGAAGTTCGACAGGGTTCATTGAATTTAAGGTGAGGAGTCCGATGAAGATAGTTCCAGCGACGCTACGACATCCAGCACGAGCAGTGATGACTCTGAAGATGAGGCAAGGCTGCCAAGGAGAGCATAGAAAACCGGGAAGACAAAATAAGACAAACAATAAGAATCAATACAACAAATAAGACAAGAAATAAGACAAGAACAGATACAGTCAAAAAGTCTTGCTATGTCTTCCTATGTCTTCCTTCACCAAAAATTCTGCTTTGGATTTCGATTTGTGATGAATTTGGGATTTTGAATTTGCCTCTCACCGCTTTCCAGGTACCAGGTCTGGGTTTCATGCGTGTGTGATTTCCTCAGAACATCGTGCCAGAAGCGTTGAATCCGAGTCCACCTGGCCAGCTTCTTTGCATTGCACGTTTTGAATCGTTTTGATAATTTGTGATGGTTTTTGTGATGGTTTTTGTGATGGTTTTGGATTCCTACAGTGGATGCATGTTACAATGTTGCAACGCAAGTCGCAATGCATGTTATTCTGAGGGCCGGGAGAAGTGGGCGAAGGGCCTCCCTGAACGCGGATCAAATGCCCATGTTGGCACAGAGAAAGCAGCGAGGGAATCCAACAGTGTGGAATGATGCATATCGAAATATGACGGACATATGACAAACATTTCAATATGAAGACTTTCCAAGGTTATTTTTAACTTACAGATCTTACAGGGGAAGGAACGAATAGAACGAGTAGAAGATGTCTAGAAGATGTCTAGAAGATGTCTAGAAGATGTGTGAAGATCTTCTTGGAGGGTTCAAGTCGCACGAGTCGCGCGGCACAGGAGAGCCGCGCTGCGTCAGCCGTCGGTGGTCGCCAGGGAGTCCTCCACAGAGGCCATGGCCATGCTGGCCACGTTGCAACACGTCAACGAGTCATGAGATGTAATACATGAATGATTTAAATATATATATAATTACATAATATATATATATACTGTATATTTATTTATATGAATTATATGATAAGTAATCTGATAAGTAATTAAATACATGTAAATATATGTAATACAAATGTGATGGGAAGTTTGTATCAGATTCAGATAAGACAAATGGAAGCAAAATTACATTTTTTCATTCTGCAGCTGATGGGTCTGTTCGCCCGTGCTGTCATGCACTGTGCTGGCAGCCGACCTACCGTTGTGGTTGGTAGTCGGGTAAAAACCCGCTGACAAAATTGGTGTTGGACAGATGTTCCACCAAAGTCAGCCACTGGATGTCCCGCTCTCGGAGCTGGGACATTGGCCGCACGACGATGCCTTCGGCTCGTCGCCGCTTGGCTAGTCCTTGGAAAAGAGTTGTGACCAGCGCTCTACACAACCCTTCCGGGTATTCTTTCGCGCATGCCGTGCGAAATTGACCTGTCTCTACATCTCGGCCGCTCAGATGCTTCTCAGGCTTCGCGAGACCCTGCAAGGCTTGTCCATGAAGAACCGCGGCAGAAGCCGGTAGCCCCATTGCCCTGATCAAAGTCGGTTTGACTGCTTTGGAGCCATACTTCCATTGCTGAATGTGAATTCGCTGATGGCCCGGTGCTGCATGACAAAGTCGATGTTGAACAGGGGTTCGCCAGATGCTTGCATAATCCTGGCACTCAGGGATATCTGGATGTTCCAGCAGGGAGGCACCACCATGCAAAACCACTGTGATCTCAATCTTCAAGTTGGAGAGCATCAAGGCACTTCCTGTCGCCAATTGGCAGAGTTCTCGGTGCGTAAGATACTCCAGCCCCCAAGCGCGTTGCGCCGATCGAAGAGGTCGTGGCCAACGTTCATGGGAGTCTGGAGGAGGCTGAAGATGGCGAGCAGCACTCCAGGTTTCACAGGGTGGGCCTGCGAGATTGCCTGCTACGACACCTGCCTGCGCGATGCGGTGTAGCGACTCCAGCCCAGGGCCATTCAATAGATCACAGTGTGTTCCACCCACTGCCGTGTCTAAAGAAAGCATGATGACCTCGAAGTTGGGAAAGTACTGCTCAACCAGACGCTTCGCCCAATAGTGACAATCACCTTCACGACGACGACCGGAAAATAAATGGAAAATGAGCAGCGCTTTTCGCCCATCTGGCAACTCGCAAACTGGAACACCTTGTTGCTTCGGCCAGTGTAAAACCTCAGGGTTAACCACCGGGCCTAGGAGGACATGACTGTGATCATAGGCATTGCGCGTCGATTCCAGTTGTTGAAGTGCTCGCTGATCACCTCTAGGATTCGGAACTTCTGGTAGCGGAGCATCCGGTGGAGCAGCTCGATGAAGTTGTTCCAATCGATCAACGAGCTTAGCCACAGGAAGCTCGTAGAGCAAGTCCAAATACTGAGTTTCGACAGAAGTCTTCTGGTCGGGATCCTCGATCTCATCAAGCAAGTCATAGAGCCTAGTCCGTCCCCAAAGAGCAAATGCCCAAATGGCCTGCGCATGTCGAAGCGGGTCAGTGTTGTAGAGCTCCACCGTCTCACACCATCTCCAGGAAAGGTCATCATTGGCGTCATCTGTGCACCATCGCCTCGTGGTGGCAGTGATAGCTTCTAACACTTCATGACACAGCTCGTCTGAGAGATCTTCTGGAAATCCTTGTTGTTGCCACTCCTGTTGCCAAACCTTCCATGCGCGAGCATGATCGCGGCTCCACTTTGTTGGCACACTGAGCTGAGAGGGTCCAGCCGCTGCTACACAAGGGAGGCGATGTTGGTCTTGTAATGGCGCAGGAATAACAACACGTTCTGGTTGATGTAGGGGGTCCAAGTGCTGTTGCACCCACCAAAAACATCCATCGGCTTTGCGCTTAGAATAGCGGAGGTGCTGTTGAAGCCTTTGCGCTGTCCAAAAACATTTGCGACAGCATTCACAAACACCAGAATATACAAAGCGTCTCTCCTCCGAGATGTGTCCATGCTGCTTCCATTGGTGCGCATTCAAGCCTTGAATGGTGGAAAACGCACGAGAGCACATTGAACATGGAAATAGGTCAGGGAGTGATTCCTGTGGATTAGGCACGTGGTCAAACACAACTCCATGTTGTTGGCAAAGTGCATGAATGTCACGATGCATGCGCGCCACATGATGGATCGTCTCCTCTTGCGTCAGGAAGCGCGCTACTGCACGTCGGATTTGATTGGGCATTGTTGCATCAGCCTGGCTTGTCCAGGTCGGGATGTCTTCACAGGTCCATTCACGGCCCTTGAGCTCTGCCACCATAGTGCCAAGCCATTGGAGAGCTTGGCGAATCGCATCAAACCAAGAAGTGCGACAGATCTCGTCCTCCGCAGTGATGCTTTCCCAAACTACTTGTGGTCCATGGCGGTGTAATTGTAACAAGAACAGAAGCCGATGTTTGGCCAGTCGCACAGCCAAAGGTGGAAGGCGCCATCTGGCTCGAAATTCCGCATCTGTCACCTGTTCTGCTTGCCAATAACCTTCTCCTGCAATCTGTCGCTGCCACTTCACAATCGCAGAGGATACTGAAGCAAACTGTCTGGTAGACAAAAGAGGCCATGCGCCACAACCATAGAATAAAATGGGCAAGACCAACGTTTCAAGCAGCTTCAAACGAAGGCGAATTTCCAACTTGCGATTCAGAAAGATGGTTTTGCTCATGCTGCGAAAAGCTGCCGAAGCTTTGCCAAGCTTGAGTTGAAGATCTTGTTGAATATTGCAGCTTTGAGCCATTACGATGCCCAAGTGCGTGTACTTGGTAACAAGATGTAGAGGTTCATAGCCTGGAATATCGATCTGACCAAAATCATCAATGAACCTCTCTCTCCGGCAAGCAGGGGCATCTGTTCCTCGATACTGCAAAATGGCTTCAGTTTTGCCAGCACTGCAATTCAAGCGCAGCCCAAAGTTGCGAAACGTCTGATGAATCACCAACATTGCCTGCCGCAGCAAGGTGTCCAATTGACACGCAGAAAGGCACGGTAGCGGCAAGGCGATGTCATCGACCCATGCAATGGTCGGTGACAAGCTTTCCAGAAAGCTGTTCGCTTGCTGGAGCAGCGGCAGTTGATGAAGACCAGCCTGCAATTCTTTCAGGAGCGCAGTCATGAGGATGTTGTAGGCGATATCTGCTAGGGGAGAGCCAGGTCTGGATCCCCTTGTAGTTTCATAGCATCCTGCAGCACCCGGGCATGTAAACCATGTATTGCAGTGAGCATCACGAACCAATCTGGCTGTGGTGGCTGGGGCACTGTCAAAAATGGCAGCATTCGAGGCAATGTTGGCTTCCAAACTCGCAACCTCAAGACCTTCATGTGCCAGCACTGTGCGCAAGGCATCCGGAAGATGCTGCATCGTGCCAAAAGCGTGTTGGCGAAGAAGACAATGGAAGGCATTCTTGACGTCCACGAAAATGATGGCCATCGATAGCTTCTTTGCTTCTACGACTCGAACGTAGCTTCGAAGGTAGAGGGAAGCGAAGACCGTTTGTTGCCCTTTGAACCCACCGAATTGCGTAACCATCTTGTTGGAAGTAGCCCATGGAAGTAACTTCCTTCGCAGCAACGCGTGATGAAGTTTCGCAAGAACATCGAGGAGCATGATTCCCCTCATGGCAGCTGCGGTGGTCGCGCCCTGCTTTTTGGCGATAGAACAAATGTATCCGCCTTTGAATTGAATTGGTTCAGCTGACACTAACCAGATCTTAAACAGAAGATGGTAGAAGATGTCAGAATGCCAAACCATCATCTGTTGAAGTTGCTCTGCTTGAATTCCATCAAGACCTGGTGCTTTGCCTTTCTTGGCCAGTTTGCAGACTTGCTCCACTTCCACTCGAGTAGGAATCTCATGGAGAGAGACCATCAATGGCAGATCATCTTGGGCGTTACGTTGTTGTTGTGCACATTGTGTGAGCAGGACAGGGTATGCAATTTCCTGGCCTGCTTCAAGCTTGGAGTAGTGGTTGATGAGGTCATCCACTTGAGGGCCTCGACATCGGATGTTGGCACGCTTCTTTGCCACACCTTTCGGTAGTAAGTGGCGAATCTTGCGCCAGAGGCCAGTGATGCCTTCATCTGCAGCCACATCGCTTTGTTCCAGCGCCAGCATCTTGTAGAACTGTACATCGTCATGGCGCACGGCGGCAGCAACTTGGAGACACAGACGGTGATGTTGTCCCGAATGAAGAGCAAGAGCTTGATGTAGAATACGCATCCACGGCTGAAGACGACGAACATCATCTTGAATTTTGCCCCATCGCCATGCTTGAAATATTTCACGCATGATGCCTTTCCTCCACGTGCTACGAAGAGAGCGCATACGGTTCCAGTGGAATCGCTTGGCTTGGATCAAGGTCCATGTCGTATCCTGGAGATGCATCTTTCGTTTGGTGGGTAAAGGCTTGTGTGGTTGCACACTTTGCATCCATTGTTGGAGTGCCGCTGCATGTGAATGCACATCCTGTATCCACGGAGGAGTCGGAATTGCCGTAGAGGAGGAGCATGGGGCATTGTTTGGACGTCGCGGTGCTGAGAATGATTTCGAGAGCTTGCACGTGATTGGCAGGTCTAGTTGCAGAGCACGATGATCTTCTCTTTGCGTGGAGAGGTCCACATTGGCAATACGAGTGCGCACATCTGGGTGTTGCAGAGTTTGATCAATGGCTATGTAATCAAGGCGCGCTGTGCTACCAGAGCTGTGCGTCCATGTTGTGTGGTCTCCTTGATGATGTTGCACAAAGGTCTGTGGAAGAAGCAAGCTGTGGTCAAAGAGCCACTGGTGGAAGCATTCACCTGCAGTGTTCTCTTCTTCAGCTCCGGCCGTACCAAGAACATTCGAGGGAAGAGATCCAACTCGCGCATTGGCATCAACCAATACGATCAGAGGCCATGAACGCAAAGAACTTG